AACTTCCGAACAAACTGACCTCAAATAGCATGACATGAACATATGAACATAAATATACTGAAAACATGAAGATTTACGCAAAGAACTGAACTATGGCCGTGGCGGGCGCGCCGTGCGCCGCCGACGGCGTTGTGCCGTTTAACGACCGAATCACATAACTCTCGGCAATATAAACTTAACTGAACTTGAACAAAGCTTACGGAACATGATAACACATAATGATCGGAGAGTTGAACTGAACATGCAATAACACGAGAGCGGTCCGTGGTGCGCACTAAGTGTGCGACCACACCTCTTCGACCAAAGCACCACCAACATGACTAATTATCCGAACATTATAGCTAATCTAAACATGATATTGCAATTAAAGGCTAAACATGCAAGAACAGTTCGGAGAAAATAGATTCTAACATGACATGGTCGGCACGGCTACGGCTACGGCTCATACTACCCATAACACGCATGAACGCCTAACGGAAAAATCAAACCAAATAAACATGATAGTCTCGGTCTACAACCATCGGGAGTTACCTCTTATTAGGCTCAAGTGACTAATCTTGTCGAACTCCCGTACTCGGCCGTGACCCTCCGCGTGTGTGCGACGCCGTGCGATGGATTGCGGTGCGCGCGGTACTCTCGGCAATATCTCGCGAACCACACTCCAAACTCACACAATTTACTCTCTCTCTCTCTCTCGGCACTATGAACTTAGGCGTGAAAAGAAGATGGAAAATTTTCTTCTAACACTCTCTTATGAAGAAGCTGAAATGGCATGGAGCATAAATGAGGTAATGTTGTGAGACTAAAGCTAATGACACTTGTCTCACGTGCCATCTAATGCTAGGACACTACATGCTAAAAGCCAAAGTGCCATGCATTACACTCCAGACACTAGGATTAAATAATCATGAGGAAAACCGAAAGTATATGCATATAACTACTATGTTCGGTTTTTACAAGGAGATGCTTAATCTTAAGCACTTGGACACTAAATGACAAGTTCTCCTCTTGACTTGTGATAGTTCCCATGCACACTACTACAAGACATATCCTTGCACAAAACTACAAATAAGGTGCACGGCTATTAAGGACAAGTTGGGAGGAATCATTGAACAAAACACTAACATGTACACATGGAGCACACGGCATTATGCATGACTTGGAAAATGAATAAACTACTAACATAAAAGTGCACGGCTACTAAGCATGAATTGGAATTCTCCAATGTTAGACAAAATATAGTGCACGACATTTTGGAATGGTAATGAGGATTAATTACCATTAAGCACAAATTAAGGCTTAATCATTTAATTAAGCATAATACTTAATTACCAAAATTTATTTCGAACGTAAACGGTACGTCGAAAATAATTTCCGGTAATTTCGACTGAAATAACTGGAAATAATTAATTCCAAAAAATAATATCGGAACTAAAAATATAATTTATACTGATAAATTTTCGGGATATTACAATCCTCCCTCCTTACAAAATTTCCGTCCTCGGAAATTCAGAACATAACTGAAATATACATGAACTATGTACATGGAACAAGAAAATATGTACATCAGAACTGAAAATCTGGAAAACGAGCGCGAATATCAGACTCCTCCTCTCAAGTAGCTCCGTGGCGATCCCACTGAATGCGCACGAGAGGAATATCTCGCTTCCGGAGCCGACGAACCTGACGGTCCAAGACAGCTATCGGTCGCTCCTCGTACGAAAGATCTGACTGAACCTGAATATCTGAATGAGGAATGACATGATCGGGGTCGCACACGTACATATGCAACATCGATGCGTGAAATACATTATGAATGCCTGATAACTTGGGAGGTAGAGCTAAACGATACGCGACCTCGCCTACTCGTTCGAGAACCTCGAACGGACCAATGAACCGAGGGTGCAACTTCCCTCTCTTTCCGAATCGCACAACTTCGCGAATCGGACGAACTCTGAGAAAGGCTGGCTCGCCAACCTCGAACTGAATGTCTCGTCGATGATGATCGGCGGAAGATTTCTGACGACTCTGAGCTGTCCTGAGTCTCTGCCGGATCAACTCGACCTGATCTGCTGTCTCCTCGATCAACTTGGGACCGAGTACTCGTCGCTCTCCGACGTCGTCCCAATAGAGAGGGGAACGACACTTGCGACTGTAAAGTGCCTCGTAAGGAGCCATCTGAATAAAAGAGTGATAGCTGTTGTTATACGCAAACTCGGCGTACGACAACAAAGACTCCCACTTAGCACCCCTGTCAACAACCAAACCGCGAAGCATATCCTCAAGCGTCTGAATAGTCCGCTCTGACTGAACTCAAGCTTCGTGCCCATCGCCTCATGCAAACTGTGCCAGAATCGGCTGACGAATCTGGGATCTCTGTCTGATACGATAGTAACGGGCACTCCGTGAAGTCGAATGATTCCACGGGCATATATCTCAGCCAACTTATCCGTGGACATCCTCATCGAAACGGGTAAGAAATGCGCAACCTTAGTCAATCTGTCGACCACGACCCAGATAGCGTCGTGATGTTCAGACGACCTCGGTAATCCCGTAACGAAATCCATCATGACTTCCTCCCACTTCCACCTCGGAATTGGCAGTGGTTGCAGGAGGCCAATCGGAATCTTATGTTCGGCCTTGACTTGCTGACAGGTAAGACATCTCCTGACGAACTCGGCGACGTCCTTCTTCATACCTCGCCACCAAAACGACCCTTTCAGGTCGTGATACATCTTCGTGCTCCCGGGGTGGGCTAGGTAGAGTGCGGTATGGGCCTCTGATAAAATCTCCTTCCGCAACGCCTCGACCTTCGGGACCACGATCCTACCCCTGAACTCTAAGGCACCATCGGCACCTAGCTGAAAACCCTCGACGCCTCCGACGAGAACCTTGGCCTCCATGACACGAACGAACTCGTCAGAAGCCTGTTCTCGTCGGATTCTCTCTCTCAGCGTCGGCTGAAGCTGCATAGCACAAACACTGGCACTGGTACTCCCCGAAACTGCTATGGGAAGTGCATCAATCGCCTGAAGTTGCATCCGGGCAAACTCTTGAATCAACGGACTCTGCTGAGTAATGACGTACGTCAAATCACCCCTCACCTGTCGGCTTAGGGCATCTGCAACGACGTTCGCCTTTCCCAGATGGTACTGAATAGAGCAGTCATAATCCTTGACGAGTTCTAACCAACGGCGCTGTCTCATGTTGAGCTCCTTCTGAGTAAAGATATACTGCAAGCTCTTATGATCTGTGAAAATCTCACAATGACTGCCGTCAAGATAGTGTCGCCAAATCTTGAGGGCATGAACGACTGCTGCTAACTCCAAGTCGTGCGTCGGATAATTCTGCTCATGCGGCTTAAGCTGACGGGAAGCATACGCAACGACCTGGCCGTCCTGCATAAGGACACATCCCAAGCCCTGTCTCGAAGCATCGCTGAAAATGGTGAAACTCCGAGAAGGATCGGGAATAGTCAACACCGGTGCTGAAGTTAATCTCCTCTTGAGCTCCTGAAAGCTTGACTCACATCGGTCAGTCCACTCGAACTTCACAGACTTCCTAGTCAGCTGGGATAAAGGGAGGGCGATCTTGGAAAAGCCCTCGATGAACCTGCGATAGTATCCAGCTAGACCGAGAAAACTGCGAACCTCGGACGGACTCCTCGGTGCTGACCAATTCTGAACAGCTGAAACCTTAGAAGGATCTACCTCGATACCTGCCTGAGTAATCACATGACCCAGAAAGGATACTCGCTGGAGCCAGAACTCGCATTTGGAGAATTTCACAAATAACTGTTCTCGTCTGAGGGTTTCGAGAACCACCCTCAGATGCTCCTCGTGCTCCTTCTGGCTCTTCGAGTAGATAAGAATATCGTCAATAAAGACAATAACAAACTGATCGAGGTAGGGATGGAAGATACGGTTCATGAGGTCCATGAAAACTGCTGGCGCATTGCTGAGACCGAATGGCATGACGACGAACTCGTAATGGCCGTAACGAGTCCTGAAAGCGGTCTTAGCGATATCTGACTCCTTAATCTTCAGCTGGTGGTAGCCTGATCGCAAATCAATCTTTGAGAACACACAGGCTCCCCTCAGCTGATCAAACAAGTCATCGATCATGGGAAGCGGATACTTGTTCTTGATCGTCAATCGGTTAAGATCCCGGTAGTCGATACACATGCGCATGGATCTGTCCTTCTTCTTAACAAAGAGAACTGGTGCTCCCCAAGGTGACACACTCGGTCAGATGAAACCGAGTCGTAACAGCTCCTGAATCTGCGCCTTAAGCTCCTGCAATTCCTTTGGCGCCATACGATACGGGGCTTTGGATATTGGACCGGCCCCTGGAATAAGGTCCATAGAGAACTCCACCTGCCGATTAGGCGGTCCTCCTGGGAGCTCGTCTGGGAATACGTCCACAAACTCTCAAACGGCTGGAACATCGTGAGGTGAACGCGCTTTCTGAGAGTCGTCAACAAGGCTCACCAGATAACCCTGGTAGTTGCCTCGTCGCAGCAACTTAGTGGCTTTCGCCATTGAAACAACATGAGGTAAAGAACGGTTCCTGGAGCTGAAGAAAGTAATCGACTCGTCTCTTGGAAGATAAAAAGTAATCTCCCTGTCGTGACATTTGATATCCGCATGATAAAAGGATATCCAATCCATTCTGAGAATAAGGTCAAAGTCCTTCATCTCGAGAACAAAAGCGTCGGTAGACAATACTCGGCCATCGATGGAAAGGCTAAGATCTGAAGATTTAGCTGAAGTCACTATCTTTCGTCCCGAGGCCAAACTCACCTCGAGAGGATTGATAGCGGTAGTAGCTCGAACTCCGATGGCGTCAAGACATCGTCGTGAAATGAAAGTATGTCTCGCTCCGGTATCAAATAAAGCAAATACAGGAACATTATTAAGAACAACCATTCCGGACATGGTACCTGGCTGCTGCTCGGCCTCTGCCTGATCGATGGCGTAAACTCGGGCCTGCTGTCTGCCCCTCTGCTGCTGCTGCTTAGGCTGCCTCTGTGCCTGCTGACGGGGCTGCTGCTGCTGCGGTGGCTGCTGAGGCTGCTGAGGCTGCTGCGCCTTCTTCGGACAGCGGTTCGCAAAGTGTTCGGGCTCGTGACAATAGTAGCACACATCCTGACCAAAGTGGCACTAGCCTCGGTGAAGTCGTCCACATGTCGGGCACTGAGGGATCTGCTGTAGCCTCCGTCGGGTCCTCTTATCTGCCGGGGCACCTTTCTCTTTTCTCTTGTTGTTCTTGGGCGGCTGACATCGGTGGGACTGAAGACGACTGAGCAAGGGCGGATGGCTGAAACTGACCACGAGCGGCCTCCCTCCTAATGCTGGCATCCACTTCCTGAGCAATGGAGACTGCACGCGCGTACGTCTGTGTCCCATGGCCTACGATGTTATGACGTACTGCTGGGTAAAGCCCGTCAATGAAACGCTGCGCTCGCTGGGCTTCCGTGCGGACCAAATCAGGGACGAAAGCTGCAAGTCTCGTGAACTCCCTCTCGTACTCGTCGACAGTACGAGTACCCTGCTGGAGCGATAGAAACTGACGCTCCATCTCTGCTCGGTAGTATGTGGGATAGTACTTCTCACGGATTAACTCCTTGAGCATCTCCCACGTACATCCCGCCTTCTCACTGGGACGCATGTTCCAGTAAGCGTTCCACCAGAGCCTGGCATCACCGGTGAACTGAAGCTGTGCGCAAACCACACGATATCTCTCAGGGCACTCCATGACCTCGAAGATAAACTCCAGGCCCTGAATCCACTCATCAACTACGCGAGGATCTCCCTGCCCTGAGAAGTTTTCGGCATGATAGTCGCGGAACTGGGCGACCACTGTAGCCTGAGTAGGAGCCGGATGATCGGGTTCCCTACGTGGCGGCATCTGAACATTGAGAAAGTTCAAAATTATAGAATACATGATGATATTCTGACTGATTTTTAAGGCACACAAATTTCTTGACGAGTCGCCAAAAGTGGCCGATAATTACTGACGTGAAACCTGAGGAACTCTAGAGTCATACTGAATATGCTGAATTCTAAAGTTATATCTGAACTCTAAAGTCGGAATCTGATCCGAGCATCTTAACTAAGTCTGATTACTGATTTCTGAGCATAGACAAAGTAATATGTTTATAACTGAAAAACTGAATCAACACTTACCTGGAGTCGGCGAGGCGTGAGCGTGACGGTTCAGGTTTTTTTTTTCTGAAAATTATTGACTGAAAAACTTTTCAAAGACGCAGAAACGGGCTCTGATACCAATTGTAACACCCCGACTTTTACCTATATCAGAGTACGCAATTTTTCGCAATTTTCTGAATAAAATACTTATTTTGCAAACACTGATTCGGAATGCTACCGTGAAAAACTTAATTTTTCTGAAACCGTTAAAATTTTAAGCTGATAAATAAAAACGGTCATAACGTCTTATCCGACGAACGTCGGAGCAAAGTCTGATAATAAGTACTGAAAGTTTTAGCGGAAACAAAGCGTGGCTAAACATAAATACAATAATCATAAATATCCTGAACAGCTCGCCCGCTCACTCCTCGTCTCCGACCCTGCGACCTGAAAAACATGAAATGCGTGGGGGCATGAGCACTAAAACACTTGTGCTCCGCAGAAACTCATACTAATGTAAACATCGTAAATAATAACAATATCATGAGCTAAGCATATATAACTGAACAGAAACTGAAACTGATATCTGAAACCGGTCTGATCTCGCGACATAAGTCACGTAACTGATAACTGAAATCTGTCGGCACAAACTAATACCGCAATCTCCCGGCACAAACTAATACCGGGCCATGTGCACACTCTAGTGGTTAGATTAGGCCACTAGAACCCAGAATGGACCGACGACCATTCTGAGCGGATACTGAATATACATACCTCGAACATGGTAGCGTAATTATAAACAATGTAGTACTTAGTCTGACTCCCCACCTGAACTGCTGAAACTGAAACTGAATGGCAGTGCTGATGTCTGATGAAACTGAAAATAACATAAACAATTACTATTGACTATGCTCAGACTGATAATTTAACTATTTAATTATGTTAAGATGCTCTATCGCATCTGACATGACATTCGGACTTATTCGGTATAACTGAAACCGGCTAAGTACGAAACTGAACGGATATTAATTAACTGAACTGAACTTGACCCGGAATTTAACTGAAAATAA